TGTTGTTGCTTCCTTACAATGTGATATCACAGACGATGTTTCGAATCACCCAGGAAACCAGGTTTGAAGGTACGTAGTTGTAGCATTGTCCTTGAAACTCTCTCTATTTTGTACAAAAGTCACCCATCATTTATTCGAGCTGACAGAGTTCCTGTGTACACAATTGAAGGAGCGAACAAATAGGATTATCACTGGTCAGCATTATTAAACAGGTCTATGGTACTACGATACAGTACGATACCGCAGTACACATCCAGTTAGTACCGTAAATGAGCTTTAACTTAATCCTCACATTGATTTAACGATTTAAGTTTAGTGTGATATATCACTGGAGCTATCGCGCGCTTTAAAGATTGTAAATTTGATGTAAATATGATGTAAGTGTCCAAAATTCTGTAAATTTAATGGAAATCATTTACATCAAATTTACAGAATTTTGGACACTTACATCATATTTACATCAAATTTACAATCTTTAAAGCGCGCGATAGCTCCAGTGATATATCACACTAAACTTAAATCGTTAAATCAATGTGAGGATTAAGTTAAAGCTCATTTACGGTACTAACTGGATGTGTACTGCGGTATCGTACTGTATCGTAGTACCATAGACCTGTTTAATAATGCTGACCAGTGATAATCCTATTTGTTCGCTCCTTCAATTGTGTACACAGGAACTCTGTCAGCTCGAATAAATGATGGGTGACTTTTGTACAAAATAGAGAGAGTTTCAAGGACAATGCTACAACTACGTACCTTCAAACCTGGTTTCCTGGGTGATTCGAAACATCGTCTGTGATATCACATTGTAAGGAAGCAACAACACCACCACCACAATACCACTAACCAGCATTTCACCCTGGAAAACGTGCGATGACTAAACAAATTACAAAACAATTACTTTGTTTTATTTCATTTTATGTTGCTTCCTCATTTCGACCGGGGGCTGCAGCACCATTGCATAACAGATAGGTTCAGAAAGTGAGCCACGCATGCAGTCACGAGGATGGCGGTGGATAGGTGGTGGACTCCTTATAAAAAGGATAGTTCAGAAAGAAGTGTTGGGGATACGGGAACGCCTCACCCGAGAGGACGTCATTATGTATGTGACTAGTTGAAGCAAGGAATCGAAAAGATGAGAATGACAGATTTGAAATTTATTCAATTATCTCAAGATTCGAATGTGAATCCAACTTTTTGGTTTTGATATTGACAGCACTGACACTAAACACCCTCGTAATCCTGGCCGTGTTTTGATTCTTGGTGTAAGGTAAGCTATGAGCAACGTCAAACGGAGAACTAACGTTAAAGAAGTTGGTCTTTTATCAAAGAGGCGTTTTTAAAAAAACTTTGCTTATGGTAATTTTTTTAACTTCCACCTTCGCCATATTCTGTAAAACAAATGGCCCCGTGAAACCATAACATTACATATAATATCACGTGATGTTGTCTAAAAATCAAGGGAACAATTTCTTGTCTTTTTTTACGTGGCAAATACTAGTATATTGATACAACCCTTTATCGACTTAATCCACATCTTTTTTGTGCCTCTTGTAGAGTCTCCTACCTTTTCACAATGACGACAAGCACTTCAAGCAATAATTGCTACAGCAGCAGCCYGATATACCATAAGATCCTCAACAAAGCTGTCGACGTTTTGATCTTCACAGTTACAATTGTAAGGCAGTCTTTTGTGAGTTTTAATTTTCAAATGAATGGTTGATGGACTCGGTCGTTTTGTCATTGAGTAAATGTTTGTTAATGGTTGAGTAAATATAATAATATTCATAATGAGAATTAGAGACTTACAATTGAATTAGTGAGTAAATATACAAGACATAAACATTATTATTTTTAACAATAAGGCATCGTAAAGTCATAAAGTGCTACCATAGCATGTTAAACTGAGGTCTTTAGTATAGGACAATTAAATCTATGCCAATAGACAATGAATTGAACATCAAGAATTAAGCCAGAATAGGCGAGTKTTTGTTTGTGGCAAGTGCTTTTGCCATATTTGGTAGTGAACAATCTTTTTCGTTGACACGTTATTTGGCAGTAATTTTTTTCATTTTTCAATTGAATTCGGTGGATGAGATTGTTCGATTGAATAGTCATTGGAAAAGTGAAGAAAACTTCTATACATTCATAGTTGAGCGGTACAAAGGTATATTTTTGAGTCGGTTAGCATTATCATRTTTAATAGGTAAAACTTCATTTTTCTAACGAATGGCATTTTATTACAAACAGTAATACTGATCAAGTCGAACACAAAAAAGCATATTACTCTCAGTTAATATAACCTGACAATAATCGACAATCCCTTTACTTGATCGGGCGTTTATTAAGGTAAGTTTTTTTTGTTTGTGTGTGTGTGTTTTTTTTAAGGCAGAATTAGAATGGACTTGCTGATGATGACAGCCGGTTAATTTTAAGGAGGATTTCATTTGAACACAAACAGTAGGATTTCAGATCATCAGAAGATATAYGAAAATGTACGACACTGACTTGAAATCCACTGCCCAGTCTCGAAATAATCGAGACTTAATTTAGAGCGGATTTCGTATAAGGTACGGACCACGGCGCAGACAGGGCACGGCACGGTTACTGCACGAAAGTGCCGTGTTTTTTTGCGCAGTCGCACTAAATCCGCTCTACTGATAAAAAAGCATATAAGACAAGACACACACCACGACTCTGTACAAATGTAGTTTGATACAACATGCAAGTTTTTCTTGACGCTTTTTCCCCCAACGACCAACAATTTAATAGAGCGGGCTAAAAAGTGGGYTGGGACTGGACTAATTCAGTCTGAAGTATTGTCGTTCTGTTGTCGTCACTAATTTTGCCGTTACTTGGTTGACTTTATAGAGCATCCAGTATGTTTTACAGCTATTAASTATATCCTGATTAATCTGTTAAAATAGTTATAACCACTTTGCCGTGGCCCTTGTTTACGCCCGCCTTGTTTTCCTTCAGTTCACCGCCATTATAAGATCCACCACCTCCTGCTACTAGAGATGATACCCCTTTAACTACACTACCACCAGAATACCCTCCTCCACCCCCAGGCTCAGAATTGGAAGCCCCTCCGCCTCCAAATCCTCCGTTTCCTTTAGAAGAAGGTTGATTGAGTCCTCCTTTYCCCCCATTGATAAAACTATCACCACCACCTGACAGGAAAGTACTTTCTCCAGCGGTCTTTAAGCCTCCGCCAGCTCCACAGTTTATTACTGGGTTAGAATAGTCTTTCTTAAGTCTACCACCACTTCCATCCACACCTCCAAATGATGATCCATTACTTGTTGCTTGACCATCTTGACCATCTAACCATCCATCAGCAGGCGAACTTCCCCCACCACCACCCCCTGCGACAACCAATGGTGTGTTATCTGGAAAAGTAACAAAACTACCACCTCCTCCACTGCCTGGATTAGGGTTGAAGTCCATGATTGGTTGCCCTTCTTGTCCAACCAAAATTTTCAAACTCTGACCTCGATTTAAAAAGAAGACTCCCTTTATTCTAGCTCCCAGTCCACCTCTCCTCCATACTCGTGGTAAAGTGGAGTTAGTTCCGTTTCCGCCGGAAGCACCCCAAGCTTCMAGAACGTAGTTTCCTGTTTGTGGAACTGTCCAATGCTGAATCCCCTTGACGAGCGTCACTTGTCCTTGAAGTGATGTTCCATCATATTTTGTAGTGGTTACAGGTCCAATTCTACCTTTCGCGCCAAGATTTGAAAATRTAAAAGTTCTGTCTAGAAAACAATGAACAAATATGATTTTTATATTAAAAAATGAACCTGGTGTATTTTCGTGGCTACGGGTGTACGTGTTGGGTTACCTGTCTGAAATGGTCGGCTCGAATTCGTATTTTTACGAAACATAATKTGAATTAAGGGTTATATAACGAAAGCTGAAATGTTGGATATTCGTTCTTCATATTTGCATTTCAAACATGTTTTGTGCCTAACAGGTGTCTTCCACTAACTTATTTGATACATCCGGTCAAAAACAAGTTTCATTCGATTGCAAATTGTTTTACATAGAAGTCCGACACCTGTTTCAAAAAACGTTTTCGGGGCGAACGGCGAATGTCTAGGGGAGAATGCACGACCGAAAGGGACTCGGTGTTTTGAAAAAACAAAATTTCACTTATTCGATTCACCTTGCATACTAAGAATGGAGACTAAATGGAGCCAATTCTTACCACAGACAGCTGTGTAACTCAGTTGTTATTTTTCATCAATTAGCAAAATCCATAGCTACTTTCGATCGTGCAATATCGCCGTCGACAATTGACATTCACCATTTCATCCAACAACCTTTTTTTGAAATAGGTATATATGGAGCAAACGTCGTGATTATATATACCATTGTTTTCATGGTACAATTTACGTCTTTCAATCACAAAATCTATCGAACGAATCTATCAAAACTTGACTATTAAAGTGTGATACTATGGTGGTGAATTAGTGTGATATTTATCTCCCAGGTTTTTTTTACTCTAGTTCAGATTACACTAATTACACCCGATTCGCTTACTTTAAATGGGCTGGACCCGTACTTATAAATTAAAAAGCACGGGCTCAGCCCACTGGAGATTATAATCTAAGCAATCTCAGAAGCTATCAGTGTCGTCATAAGAAATCCTTTGTTCTCTTGGCCAATGAAAATTAACTTTATAGTCTTCGGCCTCGTTTAGCTAATTACACCTTGAATGTCTTGTTATTATGAGTTAGTATAATATCGACAATTGCGTTGTTTCGAATCTCAAGACATGCACTCTGTGTGGCTTAAATCACTTGAACGTCTGGAATGACCACATATGAGTTACTAAATTTATCTTTTTTTCTTTTTCTTTTTTGAAAAATCGCTACGAAAGTTTTAGACCAACAATGCTCTACACGTGAGAAAAAGAGCAAACCTGAAGTCACCAAACTTGAATCATTTCAATTCTTGGTTTTGGCATGACGTCATCAGCCCAAAAAAATTCAAAATTACAGACACACAACTTTGTAGTACTAAAATACCTTCTCTCTGAATGTTTAAAATTATATGCTTTTTGGGGCTTGGACTTAAACAATTCATGGATCTTAAGACAAATCTGTTTGTAGGCATTTCTTGTCCAGTCTTGAATCGTGATAATCGACRAAAAAGTAGGTGAAACAACTTATTTATGCACTAGTCAATTGAAACCCCCGTCCCCCGGGGCTAGCGGGGCACTGAACGGGGACGTGAAGCGTTTTTAACAGCAASATTGCCCCGGGGGTCGGGATTTTGATGAATTATTTGTTTTCGAAGTGGAGCAAAGAGCGGGGAATTTAACGCGCGTTTGAACATGTATGAGGCTGGAAACCATCGACCAACGATCTTGAGAAATACCCTGAAACCATTGGTATTCAACTCTGTTTTTTTATTTGTTTATTTTTCCTTGCATGAAAATTTTTAAAAGAAACTTATTACACTTGTTTTTCTCCGTCCAGTTAGCCTCATGTTGTATACGCAAATGAGAACACAGGATTGTACAAAATTTAACGCTGTGTATCACAGAAAATTTGAAATGTGTTTGTTTTGTTATTTACTACTAGACCAAAATAGCGGGCCAACAGTAGCGGGGATTTTAACAATGAATGTGCTCCCGACTAATCGGGGGAAATGTCCGTTTTAACACCACTCAAACGTTATTCCCGGGGGGCGGGGGTTTCAATTGACTAGTGCATTACGTTTCGGACAAAGCTAGTTGAGTTCGTTCGCTATAGCTGGCTAGGACAAGCAAGGAACGCCTGCTACAAGAAGGTGCCTGGTTATCGCTCGACTTTTCTTGCTCTAATATGACATAGTGACGAGAGGCCCCATAAGGCCTTTTGTCACAAAAATATCATGAAAGATTAATAACGTTTTCCTATACTCACCATAACTCATCATCTTCCCACAAGTCCAACCTTCCATTCGGYCAATCAAAGTAAACTCATCTTTCTTCATGGACAAGCTACCAACCAGTTCACAAGTCCCTTGCTGAAGTCCAGGCTCAGTTTGCTTGTAATTATACCAGCTACAAATAGGGATTGCTAAGCAACGATGTGCACACAGAATGTTACTTTGAATCTGGAGGCTTTTGATTAAGGGGCCWTTTATTTTTTGAYGTTTTTGGTAGATGTAGACCAAAGAAGATAAAGAAGAAGAGTTTTGAATGAAGTACACGACGAGGATGAAAAGTATTGGCAATATCGACGTTATGCTTGTCATGTTGGCTGCCAAACTATAAAAAAATAAAGCATTAGCAACAGAAGCCAGGACTACCAATGTGTGGCAAATTGTCCCGATGACTTCATAGCCGGCAATTATTCCCAATAAGGTTTGCCTGTCCTCACAAACATATGCACTCAACGTTATATGAGAAAAAACTGAGATGAAATCATTGATTTGTCACATGAAACCGTAAGGGGTTTACATAACAAATAATAAAAAAACTGACTAAGACAAGCACACTACTGAAAGGTGAATAAACTATTCAGCAAGCTCAAATAATAAACAGTAATTGATGCGRTTAAATCAATGCTAAGTTTACATTGAGATCAAACAAAGTTTTCCACAGGCATCAAAAAGGCTGACAAGTGTTATTACTACCAACGACTGCTACTGAGCTTGCAGGAGGAGCCAACGGGGTCTGTTTCTTCTAAACAGCTATTCTTGTGACGAATGTTTTCCTGAATAATGGATTTTGAGCTACATTGTCGACAATCTCACAGGCAAATGTCGCGCCCTTCCTTCTTTAAAATAATGTTGTTCCTGGCAAACGTTTTTAAGGTCAAAAAGGGCTTCAATTTTTTTAGTTAGGAAATTTTTATTTTTCTGGAAAAAATTCTTAGAAAGTATTCTTGCAGCTGGAGAGTTGTTTTTCCTGAATTTCTCACTGGCAACAGCTGGCTGGGACATAAGAACAGGTATATTTCTCCCAGGAACCCGTCGGCTCCTCCTAAGCTTGTAGGCAGTTGTTGTCATGAGGAAATTAATCGAAGTAGCATGCGTCATATACTGCCATCCCAAGTGTGATAAATGGAAGAGAAAAAAGTCACCGAATATTCCTGTTAAGTAATGTTCCTTGCTCACTAAATCAGTCATGTTCCGCTGCACGTGTGGCAACCTTCTTTCAATAAAGTTGACTGTCTGAAGTTATTGAATTCCGGTTTTCACCGCAAATAACTCGACCCTTTTTCACAGGATATTTGAAAGAAAGCTAATTTAAAGCGCGTGAAGGAAAAATGGGATGAAGGAACTGTTTCTTGTAGCCGGAAATTCTTTGTTACCGCTATTTTCGAAGGACTTTTTGCACCAGCTTGCAACATTAAAATTTACATACATCGTCAACTAACTCTTTTAGCTTATGACYGTGATCCCAATCACCCCAAAATGCGATTTTCATTGTTGTTTATTCGCCTGAGGAAACTAGAGCAATGCAAAGATGCGCTGTGGGAGGCTATTGTCACGATTGTACGGATACTATTGAACAATGTAAGACAAGTTTTGGTTACAGTAATGTCATAGTCAGTTTTACGCAATCAATTGCGTTGCCATGAAATTTTTCAAAATGACGTTGATTCGGCATGACAAACTCCCAGTGTTATGATCTAATAATGAAAAATCACTGAATACAAATCAGCCGACTTGACAAGAGAACAAGAAATAGAGACGGCTATTATATTTGCTTATCCTAYTTGGAATCGTCGTCGTCTGTCATAATGACAAATTTGTGCAAATGCTGTAGGTTTAATCCACGTAGGTTTTTTTTTTTTGTTAGGTCTATTGTGGGTTGTTTTTCATTTCCTTTTAGTACGACAACCCAAAGACACTTACAGATGCAAAGGCGGGAGCCAAAAACGCAGGTTTTATCATGTTGCTGCTTGTAATTAAAAGGGAAAAATGGRTCCGACTTTTTGTCTTCGTTTTCACTGTTGGAACACTTTGTTCAATATATTATTTTGTTCAATTTATAATTTATAACTTCTCGTCTATGTATCTCTGTTTTCAAGCACGATGAGACATTTTTGCGATTCTAATTTTTCCTTTCACATCTAAAACACTGACAAACATTATAGGGTAAATAACGACTAGTACTATGCCGGTGTTTTTTGTTTGTTTCAGAGACTTTCTACTCTTATCAGTGCGTTTTTTCGTGAAAACAGTCAAAAACAGCATGAAATCATCGCACGAAAGGCATCCTCAAGCAGAAGTCAAAAAATAAMTAGAATGGCCTAGAACCTTTTTTTGGAGAAATTCTGATTTTGTCAAATTTTGTAGAAGGGTTATTAGTTAGAATAAAGGTTCTTACTTGGTAATGTTTTACAGTTTCTTCATTAGCTCTGATGACTGACCCATACTTGCAAAAAAAACGGCGATATTACTGCTTCACTGACTGGCGGTTATATTCACGTTTGACAGTACKGATTCTCTCTATGAAGTTGCTCTTTTTGAGTGTTTTTATATACTCATTTAGAAGCTACTTATCATAAGTGATCAATGGTGATACTTGATTGTTACAGGGTCATAATGCAGTCTTTCATTGCCACAGAGAAACAGTTGCCWTTTTTGCACTGGATCGCATCCGACCAGCTTTTGTTTGTGCATATTTTCAATAACGTTTGGCTTTTGATAATARAGCGGTATATGCTAGAACCACCTGCTCTATAATTACACCTATAATATTAACTGTGGAAATGTCATACAAACCTTTATCGTCCAATCTCTTTGGCTATTATTTTATCGCAGYTTTTGTTTATATGTCTTTTTTGTGTCTTTTTATGGCGCAAAACGTTTTCAGAACCATGGCAACTTGAGAAAGGCTATGCTAAAATGTCATTGTGTATGTTTGCGCACAGGAGCAACAACGTCTTTCTTATTGCCTGTTTGTTTTCATATTCGGCGAGGAGATATTTTRCTTAATTAAAATTTTCTTATGCGACAACATTATCGTCTATTACGAATCAAATGACGCGAACTCAGTATTATACTAAACACACGGGAGTACAGACAGGGACTCCCGTATTATCGATTGATAAACTAATTGTCAATTTATTTTCATCATGTTTTATCTGAAAAAGAAATATCCTTAATTTAGACCTAAAAATCATGGCGGACGAGACTGAGACTAGGGGACAGTATTTAATGTACTAATTATTTAAAGGTACTAATAGCTAATTTATTCTAGAATCATTAACTGAATTTTTTAGACGATTCGGGGATGACACACAGGGATCCCTAAAAACATAGAAAAAGAAAAGGATTAACATGCTTAATGCCACGATGTGTCAGGGGTTTCTGGGGAAGGGTGGGGAGAACCGGAGTGTTGGATGAAGGCTGTGTGTGTGTTGGGGGTTGGGGGGAGGGGGTTGGTTGAGGAGTAGGCTACAGTGATGTGTGGGAAAGGTTGTTTAACTTTTCTTTGAAAATTTTAGTATATTTGAAAATTTGTTAATCCTTCGCTTGTGTTCTTATGTGTTGTAATGATTTATCAAAAGCACGCAGGTTCAACTGAATTTGGCTTCTAAGACACTATTTTATTATCTTCGACGGTATTTTACGTTCTCTGAAACGGGCCAGATGATTATGTCTAATGTGTTGGATTTTAAAGCAGAATTCTATCCGCCCTTGATGACAGACAAATGGCAACACAAATCGTTATTACGCGCGCTGCGACTGGTCAATGAGAGTGTTGTATATTTACATCCCAACAATATATTTATACGCGCATTCATTGGTCAAAAGGGGTCACGCGGTATATTTTCAGCGGACTGGTATCAGACGATATCCCCCGTCGGAAGGTGATATTTGGCCGAGAAACGAAGATTACAAAATTAGTGTCTTTAGTTATTGATCTGCTGTGACARCCATAAACGTAAAACTTGTGAAATGTTTATAAACAAACCGGCATTTTAGTAACCTACATTGATAGTTATTTTCTCTCCGTAAAATACTTTCACAGCGTATACTTACATGACTTAGTCGACTTTTTTTTATTCCCAGGTCAGTCTACTACATTTTTTAATCTCATCATCAGAGGTTTTTATAAAAAGCGGTTTTGATCACTCTCCATACCTTTTTTTGTCAATCTGAAAACTTACACGGACAAGTATCACCTTCGGACGGGGGATATCGCCTGATACCCGTCCGCCGAAAATGTACCACGTGAACCCTTTCGACATTGTTGGGATATAATGGTCAACACTTTCATACTCTCCAAAGGAAAGTCATCTTTCTTTATAAAAACAATAAAGGATGGAATACCATGCTTTATTGAGAATCGAATTAACGATGGATTACAGCAATTGCCTCCAATTGGGAAGTTGGAAAATAGGGAAAAACCTCAAAAAAGGTATGGAAGCACTGTATATTCGCAAATCTTTCTGCACAGTTTTACCTACGATAAACCCTGCCAATCCTTCCTTCACTTAAAATACATTTGTCAACAAAATAGTTGGAATTACTAAGATAATTTTCTGTTACGAACGAATGATCCATATCAGTAAATATTATTTTGGGTACCCTGASCGCTACAATGAGCAGAGAGAGACTGGGACAACTATAAAGTCACGTGTTCATCTTCTTTCTTTCTCTCTCTACGAACAACCGAAAAGGAAATCAAGAGGACATCATGTACGAAAAAATCTACTTAAATCTTTGTAATCTTTCGACTTTTGTGGATGATTCTTCGTATGGAGATAACATAAGAGCTAATTGACCGAAATGGATTTTTCTTTTTCTTTGTATAGTAAGGACGTCCGTATTTTTACACCATGTCTGATACGGAAGGGTAAGCCACATTTGAARTTCGTGTACATCAAGCATTTTACGATACTTATCATTTGCTTTGTATTTTTGATAGAGGTGATGTCCCTAGCCCAGCACCAGGCGGGCCAATGGATATTAATACTGCCCTACAAGAGGTTTTGAAGACCGCTCTCATCCACAATGGCCTCGTTCGTGGTTTACACGAAGCAGCAAAGGCATTGGACAGGTATTTTGAGACAGCCAAGTATAAAGTGTAAATTTGTATTAGTGTGTTTCACCATATATGCTCGATTAGAATCAGTGTAGGGAGCATATTTGTGTTATTATATATATTTTTTATATTTTTTTATTATATAAACTACTCGATCAAAGTAAACAATTCAGATAAAGTTATTACAATTATTACTTTGTTTTATCATTTTATTTCATTAGAGTCGTTCTCATTAACCCGTGGAACAAAGTGTAATAGTAAAGGAGAGACGAAGTGTATGAGGGTGTAATAGTGCTATTGGTTACATACTCTGCCCACCACACAAAATTTCAAATTCATACTTATTAAGGACACAACTGCAAAATTGCAATTTCCGCAATTTATTGACTACACTGCGATTTTCCACGAACGCATTTCTTGACATTTAGAGCGCTTATGTGTTCAAAAGCATTTACAATAGCAAGCACATGGGTCGGTCTTACATGGGAATTGTGTTCTTATACAATAGGAAAAATTCCTATGCAAATATCTGTGTTACTCGTGAATAAAAGAACAGAGAAAGTGTAATAAAGCRTAGAAAAAAATGAAGTGCTAAGGTGTGTTCCACGGGTTTTTGAGAACGAYTCTAAAGTTTATAATGATAAACAATTAGTGGAAAGTTACATTGAGCTAAATTGTCTAAGGGACTGTTTGTTAATTGTTGCCAGGAGGGATAAGGTTTATGCAACAGTCAATGTGAACCCCTGCATCCCCCTGGCTGGGACATAGCAGGGCATTAGTGGGGAATTTTCAATTATTTGAYAATTGAGACCATGGCTATTGGGGCTTTTGAACAGCTTTTGAACAAAATACTGATTATCAGCCGGGACTTCAACCTTGTCCCCAGGACCTTCTCTACTCGCAAAACGGTGGAGGCTCGTAATATGCTAACTATGTTTAACTAATGTAGAGTGGTTTTCATAAACCCATGAAAAAAAGTGTAATAATTAGAGTGTAATAGATCGTAATAGTCAATAAAAAACAAAAGAGCCAAAGTGTGTAATGCGATAAATACGCTAAAGTGTGTTTCACGGGTTTATGAAAACCACTCTAATTATTGTAAAGGGGCCTACTTAGGCAATCAAACATTTTACAAAGATTTCTCACTATAAGGTTGTCTCTATATAAAGATTGATGAATAAAACTGATTGATCGAGCAGATTAACTTTATATTAGCTTCACTTCAATGTTTGTTGATTTGCAAAAGAGTAGTGAATTTAGTGGGGTCGGCCTACCAGGGCCATTTTTTGCAATTAGAACAAAAAAACGCCCCCGTATGCAGGGCATTAAATAACTTTTGAATATGTTTCAAGTCATATGCCACGCTATGTCCCGGCCGGGGGGTGAGAGGGTTTACATTGACTGGTGCATWAGGGAGGGGAGGGGATATGTTTCAAAACAGACTGTCCATACTTATGTTAATTTTCCTCAAAATATTTTTATACATCTAGTGTACTTATTAACAAGTGAGTGACACAGGATTTCATTTCATTTTAGGCATAATAATTAATTGTATGTTTTGTAGGAGACAAGCCCATCTTTGTATTCTTGCAAATAACTGTGATGAACCKATGTATGTCAAGCTTGTGGAGGCACTTTGTGCTGAACACACCATCAAGCTTCTKCGGGTAAGTGTTTTACAATAGTCTTAACTAAACTCAACTAATGTGAAATATCTTACAAACCTTTAGCTGACCAAACTGTAAGAAAAGGTGCATTTTTGACTAAATTGAAGATAGCAATTCAATTTGAGTTTTCATTYTTTTATCTATTTAATCAGGTATTTTCTTGTCTTTTTTAACTGTTATCATTACCAATTAGGTTGATGACAGCAAGAAGCTTGGAGAGTGGTCAGGTCTTTGYAAGATTGACAAGGAAGGCAAAGCCAGAAAGGTTGTTGGATGTAGCTGTGTTGTGATCACAGTAAGTCATTCAGCAGTAGTCTTTACAGTTGATTTCACCTCCAACTTTCTTAATGTACTGGTATTCATATTCACAGTTTGATTGACATCCATGTTTTTTTTATTCTTATAATTTCCTGTCCCTTAGAGAAGTTCACTGATAAGAACTATCACAGGGTCTATTGTTATATTTCCTCAATGATGACAAAAAAGCTCCCTCTTCTGAGAAGTCTGAGGACAACAGCTATACCGGAATCACTTTTGTCTGAGGGGAAGTGTATAATGAGTATGTCTGGCTATTTTACTGCTATTTCTGCTATATATTGGATAAACTTAAAAACTCATTAGCATCTAGACAGATGTTACATCTGATGTGTTACCATAGTTAAGAAATGATCTTTGATTTAAATGTTGTTTGTGCTAAAAGTTTGTTTTTTGTGTTGCAGGACTATGGCAAGGAAAGCCCTGCTCATGATGTTGTGATGCAGTACTCCAAATCCAAGGGCATTGCATAAGCAAATTGCTCAAATAAACAGTGTTCAATAGTCTTGTTGTTGTTGTTTTTTAAGTATAAAGTTGAATTCCACCTTAGCCATGAAATGTACTTGTTGTCTTGGATGATGACTCTTATGGCTTGATATAACCATAGTAATAAGCATGAGCTATTAATATCTTGCTTGACATAATCACATTAGTATATAAGCTTGAGTCTTCGTTTAGCATATTCACCAGAAAATAAGAAGGAGAAATATAAACATTTTTATTCCATGTTGCTGTGCTTATTACTGGTGCACTAATAATTAAAGTTGCTCTTAGAGCGCACGTGGTTACTTCAAAACTCATTGAAAGACAAATTATGGAATATCTGGGATTATTGCTGTACACCAACATTGTATGTCTTTTGATACATAGAGAGGACGACATCTGTAGACTAGAAGTTTACATCAACATTGTAATTAGTCTTTGGTTACCAGTGAAAAATACATGTGTAAATTAGTATCTCGGTATTCCCAACTAAATAGTTGGGCTCAAATATCCACTTTCGTGGCTCAATAWTCCCATGATATGACCCATTTGGTTGATTTGGTCGATTTGKCTCACAATGGGATTTATTCAGTTTACATTTGGTTTGTATTTGATAAGTTTTTGTTCTTGGCATTTGGTTTGGCTGTTTGGGTCAAGGTACAGAGTTCTAACCATGACCATCGAAAGAGTGAATTTATCCTGTAATAATGCCATGAAGATAGGCCTAAAATCTCAAAAAAAAAAAAAAAAATTCAAAGGCTTTTATTATTATGGTTTATACTGTTCAATGAAAGCTGTGATAGATAAAGTACAAGAAAGAATATGAATAAACACAGCTTACAATACACAACAAACATCCAATTGAAGCACATGGAAAACTTCCCTTGGATCAGGAGCCAGMGTTTCTTTGACCAGAGTCATCAGGTAGTTGTCATGGGAATGTGTCACGTGATAGTGTGACTTACTWACTTACCATAACAAAGTGGATGCAGTTACCACTAAAACTGTTCCACGGGATTTCACTGTTCTTTTATATGTTCATGCTTACAACCATTGACAAAAATGCTGTGCATTTAAGATCTGACTTCCATTTTCTTTATTTTGTGAAATGTTATATGAAAATGTGCAGCCTTGCACAGTTTGAGGACAGTTTGAGTTATAGTGTAAAACTGAAATTCACTACTATTCGGTCCATTTGGATTTGGGTTTACTGTGTTGTATTTTGGAGGAGAGAGACTGAGCGTTATATCAAAATTCAAAATGGTGGAATATTTCATCATAAAGAAAAAAGAATGAATTTTAGATATATTTTTGATATTTTGAAGTCTAATCCAACTGCATTTAGAGGTATGAGAAGTAAGTTTACTGGAGTTCTGCGTCGAAATGTTGGATTTGTTCCTAAATTTGAAATATCAGAATCGAAACTCGATTACATAACACAGGAGGTAAATGACTTTATCTTGAAACATCGCAATATTTTTGTTATTACCGGCGCTGGCGTGTCTACAGAGTCTGGAATAAGAGACTATCGTTCTGAAGGAGTAGGTTTGTATCATATATCRACGCAAAGACCCATGGATTATCGTGAGTTTTTACGCAGCGAACGAGGGCGGCAGCGTTACTGGGCAAGGAACTTTGCTGGATGGAAAGAATTTAGTTCACGACAACCAAACTCGAACCATTTCACGTTAGCTAAACTAGAAAAACTTGGATTTGTGCATTGGTTGGTTACACAGAACGTGGATGCATTGCATAGTAAAGCAGGAGCAGAAAGGTTGACTGAATTGCATGGATGTTCACACAGGTATTATCAAAATTCTGACAACAATAAATTTTGGAGTAACTATCGAATACCCCGCAAAAACGCCTCATATTGACGATGGCTACGGCTACAGCTCAAAATCAAGTCATAAGTGAATACTGGTCTCCCTGTGTTTTATTAGAGAACGAGGCAATATATTATGTGGCTATGCGGTTAGGCTCAGTCTCCAGCCGTCGGGATTTCGTGCACCCGCGATACTCTCTCCTCTGACGGCTGGGCGCATGGGGTTCGAAACGTGTCGCGCATGTCCGTGACGTTTTTGTGTAATTAGCATATTACGAATAACGGAAGTGAATTTTTCAGTGAACGGAAGTGAAATATCTGACAATAGCCGTATTAAAAGGTTTTGCTACAAGGCGGGAAATTATGTGAAATGAAAACTTCGCGAAGTGGCGATATAATGTAATAGTTAGCGCTTTAAAAAAGAGAAAGGAATGGAAATTACCCCAAGTAAAACATGTGTAGGGTTTAATAATCCAAATGGATATATTATCTGCCAGAAAGACGAGCAAAGTACACTAGTGGCGCTGTTTGAAAAATAAGAGATTTGCCCGAGCCAGTAGGAAGAATAACAAGGACATCTTTTCCAAGAACAATCTCTTTAAGAGCCTTTTTCTGTATTTCTCTAAATTCGTCCAAGCTAAACGACTTCAGAGCGTTCAAACGAGAATCTCAAACGACGAATTGTCCGCCATTTTGTTACACTGCGACGACGGCTGCCTGCTAATTTATTAATGATATGCCCCTGAAAATATCGGGGGCCACTCGCTGATTGGTCGAGACTGACAATAGCGAACCCCATGCGCCCAGCCGTCAGGGGAGAGAGTATCGCGGGCGCACGAAATCCCGACGGCTGGAGACTGAGCCTACTATGCGGTCAGAAATTGAATGCCGGTCTCCCTGTGTTTTATTATAGAATATATATTATGAAGTGGCTACGCGGCTACACGTATACATATTTCTAACACTGCGTTGTTGTGTAGCCGGCTACAGGTAGAGGGTTTGAGTGGCGGGGTATTGGATAGTTGTACCCAAATTTTCCTCCTCTCTCTGAGATGATTAGGGCTTGCCGCGGAGCCTCCCCTTAAGAAAAGTTTGTTGTTGAATAATAAAAACAATAGAGCAGTTAAAATCTTGGGCATTATGCTGTGATAGTTGGCCTCAGAAACTGGATGTTTCTGAAATCTTCGTAGTTTTTAACAGCATCAAGTTTTAGGGAAATTAAGTGTATAGGGAATTAATAATACAGGAAATTATATGTATAGGGAATATCAGGACTTTGGTCATGTGCATCCAAGAACCTTATGCAATTTTCTCATATGAAAATGTGGAATCTTTGATTTGGAACCAATCAGAAAGCAATTTTCAATGTGAGATCATCTACAAAGCAAAACAAAAAATTGCAAAGATTCAAAGATGAATTGTGAGCCTTTGATTCACCTGGTAGGAGGCCCTATCACATTCTGACATTGTGGTATTTTTTTCTCAATGTTGGCAAGTTATCTACTTATGGTCTTCTGTCATTCTCAAGACAAGTTTGTCTTTGTTCTGCTRTACATTATCTATCCCCCTCTAGGGACACTGAAAAAATGGTATTGATGTGATAGGGTATTTGTAAGTACTGTTTTAAGTCCTGGGTAATTCAAAGTGAATACTGTTTCATACATGGAATTTTTCTAGAAAGGATTATTGTGTTCTGTTCTTTCATCCTTCAGCACTGATTTGGTTTTATTTAAAAAAGGAATTTTTACCTGTGTTAATATATAGCTGCCTTTTGATTTTCAAAAGTAAACAAAATATTCTAATCCTCTTTTAATGTTTTATAGTGTTTATACTCTACTTAGAATATTCTATCAAATTTTTACTCCTTTAGTTTTTTGTAAGTATGCTGATAGAATTGTTCCATGTGTTCATTTTCAGAGTTGTTTGTTTGAATTGTCATCAAGTAACTTCAAGAYATAACTTACAAGAAAGACTTCATCAGCTAAACCCTCATTGGCATGCAATTGCTGAAGGTCAAGCACCAGAYGGGGACACATTTCTCCCAGATAATGTTGTRGAAGGCTTTCATGTTGCTTCTTGTCTAAAGTGTAATGGAATCCTTAAACCTGAAGTTGTATTTTTTGGTGATTCTGTACCCAAAGATACTGTAAAGCAAGTTTCAGAGCATCTAAAACAATCATGTGCAGTGCTTGTGATTGGCTCATCTGTGGAAGTGTTTTCTGCTTATAGACATATGCTACAGGCAAAAGAACAGAACAAACCAATAGCAATTTTAAACATTGGTAAAACAAGGGCTGATCATTTAGCAGAGCAGAAATGGGAGGCAATCAGTGGGATGGTTTTACCTCGTCTAGGATTATTACAGTAATCTGATGTAAATTATCAAAAATTCTTATTAGAGTGCAATATAACAGGCATTGTTAGGCTTAAATTCCAACAAGTGACATGGCCTTGAAACAGTGACACAAGAGTCACAAACAAAGCCTCTCTGATGAATAATTACCGAGCAATAATATAAAGACCTAAAATTGCAACATAAGCCATTTTGAAATGCAGATGCAGCAGCCTAGTCCCCAGGCATTCCTCATTTCTAGCCTAACAAGACCTCACAGAGTGACTTTGTTGACCACTGGCTCATCACTGCAAAAAAACACCTAGGTACTAGGCTGCAGACRAAGGAAATCTCTCGACATACTGTATTTGCTTGAATAAGCTCTGGGGCGCTTACCTTAATTAATTATTTAATTTCTCAARTCTGAGATGGGGTGCTTATTCAGGGGAGAGGCTTATTAATTGTTTTTGGATCGAAGGGGGTTCTTATTCAGTGGAGGTGCTTTTATTGGGGAAGTGTTTATTTGAGCAAATACAGTACCCCCTAACAGGGCCTCAGAGAAACACTAATTACTAGGTTGTACAAAACTACTAAGACTACCTCACACTATGAAACAGAAAACAAATAAGTCTGGGTTCAAATYGGATTTTGAAAGGACAAATTGACCTGCCACATTTTTAGAAAAAAAAAATCCCAATACTCCAGTTTAGATATGTTATTTGTGCAGCCCTAACCTCGAAAGCATGAATATGGTTTTTTTTTCAGCAGAGATCCTATTGTTATGCAAACTTGTGTACATCAAAGAAGACTAAAAATTTATGCTTGATTGAAGCTAAGCTTGCACAAAAGAGAATTCGAAAACTGGAGTATTCACTGATTAAAATAAATCTTTTTCGAACTTAATTACATTTCTTAACATCCTTTTGAAATGAATAAATTAACATCCATCAGAGTTTGTGGTTGATTTTACACTCGTTTTAGTTTGAATCAATATGGCAATGTCCTCTGCACATTGAAATTCCTGTGTTGTACTCACCACTTCATTTGTTCATGGTTGCTTACATTTAGTTGTTTTCTCTTTTAAACCCATTGTGCTATTTTATTGGGCTATTATTGTGAAGTAATCATAGTTTTATTCTATTTGACATTGATTTATTGCAATTTAGTCTTGATATTGTAACTATGCAATTTGATTTTTAATAATAGTATACAGTCTTTGTCCTTTAAAAATTCGACATGACCTTCCAAAAATAAATTTGGAAAGACATCTTGTCCTGCATGTCTGGCCGTTATTTCGACCCCTGGGCTGGACACTCCAAGATGGCAACTCCAAACCATTTTCACTCAGATAGAATTGTTATACATATAAATATTGTTAATGTTTTCATTGTTGTGCATGCATTTTCATCAAATGTCGGTCATTCTTGGCTAATTTGAAGGGCTATAGCTCATTTTCTACATATTTTATTGACATATGTGTTAAAAACAATAACTTAAAATCAGACTAATGAAATGGTTCATATAAATTCTGCAGAGTATAATATATTAAATGTTTTGAAACAAAAAAAAAATCCTGCAAGCAATTCATGTGTAAAAAAATTCTTGCACACCCATGGTTGTAAAAAAAAATTCGAGCACACCCAAAATTGCCCAACCCCCCCTCCCCCTTCCTCAAAAATCTAATGGYCCATCCCTAATTCCATTGTTTTGTGTCTATTATCACACTAATAGTCAAATTTTGTTTTGTTTTTCACTAGGGGAATAAATCACTTCATGTCCGACTTTTTAAAACTGCCTATGTTGCAATTTGCCGCTGTCTACTATTTTGTTGCAAGTTCGTGTCGCTGTTTCACAGAATAAAAATAATTTTAATAACACCATGTGCCATTGACTTTATGATATTTGGGTGGCTCCTAAAAGAGCCGTTTGTTTTGTTTGTGTGAAAATCACTTTATTTCTTGGCGGTCTTCTTTGCTGTCTTTTTAGCCGCTGGTTTCTTCCCWGATTTTTTGGCGGCGGGTTTCTTGRCTGCAGCTTTTTTCGCTGGTTTGGCGGCCGYTTTCTTTGGGGTAGTTTTCTTTGCTGCTGGTTTCTTAACCTTCTTTGGACTTTTCTTCGCAGCAGCTTTCTTTGCAGCAGGTTTCTTAGCTGCCTTCTTCGCTGCTGGTTTCTTGGCAGCGGGCTTCTTTGCGGCTGGTTTCTTGGCTGGCTTCTTAGCTGGTTTCTTTTCAACCTTGTCTTTGTTCAGCTTAAACGAACCCGATGCACCCTTGCCTTTAGTGTGTACAATRCTTTCCTTGAKARCCATACGCTTGAGAGTACGTTTGAGTTGAGAATCACAGTTGTCTCCAACCTTGTAGTTGGCTTTGATGTACTTCCCGATGGCTTGTCTGGAGGATCCATTGCGTTCTTTCAATGCCCCAATGGCAGCTTTTACCATCTCATTGTATTTAGGATGTTCAGCAGGCTTTGCTGGTTTCTTAACTTTCTTCGCCGGTGCGTCAGACATCTTTCAAAGACTTTCTTTAGAAATAACAACACGTTCGCTAACAGACTCGAAATGAAGTCAATTTGGCGCCCTGTGTTTATTTATACAGCTCAGCGGACCTCCGTGGAAACAGGATTAGAAAGCAGCAAACCAACATGGCCGACACAGAATGTGTTTGTTGTTCGACTTTGAACGAATATTTCATCTCAACTAGATAACATTTCATTATTTTACTGTTGTAAAACTATTTAAAAACTCAAATAGATAACTATCCCATGTTTTTGTCCATATATTTKCCTTGATAAGATTATTATGATGCATTTTAGAGAGTTTGCGAAGTGATCCTTTGTCATGATCGTTCGATATTTCAACCATTTGCTTCATCAGGGAAAGAAACAACTGACTTAAAATTGCCGTAAATTATAAAGTCTTTATCATAAAAAGATTTTATGGTCTTATTTCATACACAGCTGATTTCCGTATTTAAAATTTCGGGATTTTAGAGTGGCAAACAAACACACACCACAGGTTTGTTACCGTTTGTCCCTGGTCTGCAAAAACAAATTTGCCGCCAAAATTAYTTGCCTTTGTACACTGTTCCCAAAGAATCAGTAGTTTGTAGAACCAGCTAAAATACGTTTATATTTTTTAATGGCTTTATAGTTAGAAAGGTAATATAGCTGTACCAGTCAGGAAGATAATACACTGGATAACTGACAAGGAAATGTTTCAAATAGTGGGAACTAGCGGTAAACTAGTGTGAGCTGCGTCGGTGTTTCTAAAGAAACAGTTATGTAAAAAGATAAATTTGACACCGTAAAAAAGTATGTGGAAAAACTTACTAACGTTTCGGATGTTAATCCTTCGTCGGAAACGTCAGTAAGTTTTTCCACATACTTTTTTACGGTGTTAAATTTATCTTTTTACATAAATGTTTCAAATAGTCTATACCTAGCCTGTGTACAGACCGAAATTTTATCAATACTTTGATATCGGGCTATCTATACCACGAAAACGTTTTTTTATAATATCACGATACTTCTTTTTTTTACAATAASTTTGATTGATCGAGTTTGTCTTCTTTGTAACGTTTGACTAGGTAAAATATGATTTTAATCACCGTCTGCAAAAAGCACTGCAGACCGGTGTCACCGGTCTTTGTCGATATCTAGGGAATACAGGATAAATTCACTAGAAATATATATTTTTTATTTTCAAACGAATTAAGAAAGAACAGCATTATGTCATTGACTTTATTGTATGTGGTGGCTCCTAAAAGAGCCGTTGTTTGTGTTTAGTAGAGGAACCAGTTTAAGCTCTCTCGCCTCGGATTCGGCGGGCAAGCTGAATGTCCTTGGGCATGATRGTGACTCGCTTGGCGTGAATGGCGCACAAGTTGGTGTCTTCAAACAAGCCAACCAAGTAAGCCTCGCTAGCCTCCTGAAGGGCCATAACAGCTGAGCTCTGGAAGCGAAGATCTGTCTTGAAGTCCTGAGCAATTTCACGGACKARACGTTGGAAGGGAAGCTTGCGGATAAGCAACTCGGTSGACTTCTGGTAACGACGGATTTCACGAAGAGCGACTGTACCAGGTCTGTAACGATGAGGTTTCTTGACTCCACCAGTTGCTGGGGCACTTTTACGTGCTGCCTTGGTTGCGAGTTGTTTTCGGGGAGCTTTTCCACCGGTTGATTTACGAGCAGTTTGCTTTGTACGCGCCATCTTTATAGAATGTGTTATCGACAACGGATAAATACCTTGAGGTGTATCCACACCAAAAATTTATATTCAGCGCCATTCGCTCTGATTGGGTAAACGAAGCTGCCTTATTATTGGTCAGTTTTACAGCTTCTGAAACCTGATTGGCCAACTCGAGATCCCGCCGATTCTCAAATTATGATATTTTTATAACCTTCAAGCTCGAAAATTTCTTCTCTGAAAAACCTCCCAAATATATCATTATTTTTTCTTTGCAAATCTTAAAATAAAGCTTTATGCTGATATTTTCATGATTGACGGGGTTTCAGACACGGTCCGACATTGTAGTAAGAGAAAATATACTTCACACTGGACGTTATGCCACAAAGAACAACAAAACAAGGATCACATCAGACGTGATGCTATTGTAACATTGCGAACCAATCATGTTACAATATGCTCTGTTTTCTACGAGGTTCGACCTGTATGCCTATAATATTCCGAACATTACACAATAGTTATCATTCTTTTGAGAAGCGAACCTTGTAAACATGACTGGTAGAGGAAAAGGAGGAAAAGGTCTAGGAAAAGGAGGCGCCAAGCGTCATCGTAAGATCCTTCGGGATAACATCCAAGGAATCACCAAGCCCGCCATCCGTCGTCTTGCTCGCCGTGGTGGAGTCAAGCGAATCTCTGGCCTGATCTAYGAAGAGACCCGAGGTGTACTCAAAGTCTTCCTTGARAAYGTGATCCGTGATGCTGTGACCTACACCGAGCAYGCCAAGAGAAAAACCGTCACTGCCATGGACGTGGTGTACGCTCTGAAACGCCAAGGACGTACTCTGTAYGGTTTTGGTGGTTAAATAATCACTAACAAACAACGGCTCCTTTAGGAGCCACCAAATGCTTCTAAAGTCAATGATTTTCAAATGCTTCTTGTAAGACAATGTTATGATTTATGATAAATATTTTAGTCCAGTTGGTATTAAAGCAAGTATTGGTCTTTTGTATGTCAAGTGCAGACGGCTTACAGGTCCTTACAACTATGCCACTTTGACCACTTTTTCATGTAAAAAGGGACTTTTGCAATACTACAAAGTTATCAATCACTATCTGAATTTTGTTAATATGGCGCCATAGACAASACGTTATTTTTTGTGAAATCAAAATCAAATGCTAAACATAAAATTAAAAAAACTTGAAAGCCATGACGCGTAGTATTATTGGTTTGTTAAAGTGATTTTTAGAGTAGAAAGCATTGATCATGATCTTTCGATCAAGTGGTGGCTCCTAAAAGAGCCGTTGTTTTTTGTTTGGGTACATAAGCTGCTTATGACGATTTCTTTTCGGCCTTCTTGGGYAGAAGGACGGCTTGGATGTTAGGTAGAACACCACCTTGAGCAATGGTCACACCACCAAGAAGCTTGTTCAACTCTTCGTCATTTCTGACAGCTAAYTGCAAGTGRCGRGGAATGATTCTTGWCTTCTTGTTGTCRCGGGCAGCGTTGCCGGCCAACTCGAGGATTTCGGCGCTCAAATACTCGAGSACAGCAGCCAGGTAAACTGGAGCGCCGGCACCAACTCGTTGAGCATARTTGCCTTTGCGGAGATGACGATGGATACGACCGACTGGGAATTGAAGCCCTGCACGGGATGATCGAGTCTTGGATTTGGTGCCCTTAGCTTTGCCTTTACCACGGCCAGACATCTTGATAGGTTTCTATAGAGTTAACGTGAGTTTGTTCGATAGAATATGACACATTTTCAGAGATTCGTCAATTTATACTGAAAGCTTGAAGAGAATAGGATCGAAATCCACCAATCAAAATGCTGGCTCTGAAAGCCGAGGTCAATAAAGCTCATTACCATGTTATTTCCACCAATCAGGT